TCTGCATAGAAAGTCTTCAACTTTAGTGTTTATGTGAATAACTCACTTGTGGAGTCAAAAATATTTATTCTACCAGTGTGGGAAGATTGCATCTGAACAAATCCTACCTGGCACATCACCCATGAAAGATGGGAGGGAAAGAACCTGTGATTCAGTTCTCCAGGACGATGGAGAGCCATTTATAGCAAGTGCTTTAGGAGGGTTTTACAGTGGAAATGGCCTTTGTCCTCCTGAGGGTTAAGGATGCTAGATTGGACAAAACCACCAACAGCATAGTCAGAAACCCTCTGCAATCTCTGCAGGAAAATCCTTTTCCAGCCAAACTTGCTAAGCACCAGTCCTGTGCTCAGTGAAGGTCAGCAGAGCTGCTGGAGGCATAGCTATGCCACCGTCAGGGAGCAGGGAAGCTGCTGCCGAGAGCACGGAGGCGTGGGCACGTGGGAGGCCAGGCTAACTCACTCGAGCTTGATGTTAATAGTTTCAGGGCAGCACAGGCTGGGTTTGCAAACTAAAATTGGAGGACAGGGCTACAATAGGAAGCTCATAAATGTCTAGATCAGAAATGTGTACTTAACCCATTAGACAATGCTGGAGGTTTGAAGAGCAAAAAAAAATCAGCATTAATTTTAAGAAAATGAACTTTTTGTTCCTCCATCAAATATCTCCTGATTGCATTACTACGCGTCGCATCTTTTCATTCTTGTATCCCAGTGACTGGCACATTCCCAGTGCAGGGCATGCCAAGAACATTCTGCTGTCCCTGCTGCAGATCTGAGCAACTGTGGCAGCCAGCTTACAAGATGGCCAGCAATGTTCTCCACGTTGACGCCCTGTGGACGGCACCAGGCCTGGTCATAGAATATGGCAGAAGTTGTGGTCTGTCATTATATGATTAAGTTGTAAAAGACAATGGGGCTGCCTGTCCAAAAAAAAAAGACAATGGGGGCCAGCGCCGCAGCTCACTAAGCTAATCCTCTGCCTTGCGGTGCCGGCACACCGGGTTCTAGTCCCGGTTGGGGCGCCGGATTCTGTCCCGGTTGCCCCTCTTCCAGGCCAGCTCTCTGCTGTGGCCAGGGAGTGCAGTGGAGGATGGCCCAAGTACTTGGGCCCTGCACCCCATGGGAAACCAGGATAAGTACCTGGCTCCTGCCATTGGATCAGCGCGGTGCGCAGGCCGCAACGCACTGGCCGCAGCGGCCATTGGAGGGTGAACCAACGGCAAAAGGAAGACCTTTCTCTCTGTCTCTCTCTCTCTCTGTCCACTCTGCCTGTCAAAAAAAAAAAAAAGACAATGGGGGTTGCTCCCTTTTGGGTGTCTCTCCCCCCCCCCTCGTCCTCCCTCTGGAAAGCCTGCAGCTATGCCATGAGCATCCCCGTGATAAAGTCCATATTGAAGGAATGAAACCCTCCCACCAACAGACCCACCTCAGCCCATCAGTGAACTTGTACTTGAAGGTGGACATCCAGTTGACTGCAGCCCCTGAAGACTGTGATTGCAGCCTCTTGAGAGACCCTGAACCCGAAGCACTCACTTAAGTACCTCCCAGCTGCTGTACCCCAAAAACTGATGATCCTGCATTGACACATCATTAGCAGCCCGTGCCCACAGCGAATGTATACCACATGCTTGTTCTTGCTCACTATACTTCATGCTTGAGCTAATTGGCTACATAGCAATAGGAGACTGACACGATGACCATCCTAGCATGGTTGATGAGAGGAGAAGATGAAATGCAGAGTGTCATCCAGGAAGGACGCAGGAGCCCCTGTCCTTACGACTCAGGAGGGAAGAAGCAGAACCTCTAAGTCCTGAGCGGTACTGAGCACTCCCCAGGGGTCCCTAACCAGTACTTTCCTGGCACAGAGCATCTCCCAGGATCTTCCCACAGGATTGTTGTCACCTGGTCTTTCCCAGAAAGAAACCAAGGCTCACAGAGCTCAGTGCAGTCATGTGATGGCAGATGTGGAGCCAAAGGGACGCAGGAGGGACTATGGGGCTTTGTTCAGGGCAGGGAACAGGATGATGGAGCTTGAGGAGGGGTGAGAAAGAGCTGGGAAAGGACTGCGAAACTGCTGGATAGACCAGACAGTCTCAAAAGATCTATTTAAAGTAGAAACTCAGGGATGCACCCCGGCCGTCTGTGTTTACCAGAAGGTACCGCTTAGCACCCTCCCGGCTTCAAGGACAGTAACCGACCACCCCCCCCCATGGCACCGAGCCCAGCCGGCTCCCTGCACCGCTGCTCAGGAGGTGTTGAATGTGCTGGGGCACAGTAGGTTAATCCTCCGCCTGCAGTGCCGGCACCCCATACGGGTGCCAGTTCTAGTCTCGGCTGCTCCTCTTCTGATCCAGCTCTCTGTTATGGCCTGGGATAGCAATAGAAGATGGCCCAGGTCCTTGGGCCCCTGCACCCACGTGGGAGACCCGGAAGTAGCTCCTGGCTCCTGGTTTCAGGTTGACCCAGCTCGGGCTGTTGTGGCCATTTAGGGAGTGAACCAGCAGATGAAAAACCTTTCTCTGTCTCTCCTTCTCGCTGTCTATAACTCTACCTCTCAAATAAATAAAATCTCAGATATATATATATATATATTTAGACAAATGCTAAATAATAATACTAAATATATATTTATATGTATAAATATATATATTTATGGCACACCTGGGCCTCCCACTGGGTTTCCCATGGTCCTGGAAACACCTGGACCCAGCAGGTATATTCAGTCCTTTTCCTCAGTGCAAACACTGCCTGACATATTGGGACTGGAACCTGGGGAACTCAGCCAACCACTGAAGAAATCTTTAATCAATAAATATATCCATAAAAGCTTTTAAAAATCAGCACTAAGTTACTGCCTCATTTCCAAATTGCTTTTGCTTTCTAAATGGTACAAGGAAACGCATAGCTTAGGCATCTAGTAAAACAAAATAAACCTAAAGATTTATAAACATAAAGGTGGATTAATCTGCTAATACTGTTTTTCTACCTGGATTCATTGATGACCGTCACACTCATCAGCAACGTGTTTTGCAACTTGTGGAACAGCTCCTTACATAAGCTTCCCAGCAGGGGCCCCGGTGTGCTGGGTGCAGGGTGGCTGTGTGCAGAGGCTGGATTTGGGTGAAAGCCCTGGGCTCTCAGGCTCAGTCTCTTCCTGTGCACTGCAGGGACCATGGCGGGACCTGCTCCAGCAAGGCGGCTGTAGTTCAAGTTCCTTTCCTCGCGCTTACGATGTATTTCTCAGCAAGCCAATACCAACTATTGATGTGTTGCCATTCTTGGTGTTGTGTTATTTTCATCTACTCCAGGAGGTTGGAGCATCAGAAGCGGTGGTGGTGAACGTGCTCAGCACAGTGTCAGCACAGAAGGTGCTCATTCTGATGAGGCAATGCTAGAGCTGTCAATCATGTGTTTCTAGTTCCTTAATAATTAATCTGCTAGGGCCAGCGCCGTGGCTCACTAGCCTAATCCTCCGCCTAGCGGCGCCAGCACACCAGGTTCTTGTCCCGGTCGGGGTGCCGGATTCTGTCCCGGTTGCCCCTCTTCCAGGCCAGCTCTCTGCTGTGGCCCGGGAGTGCAGTGGAGGATGGCCCAGGTGCTTGGGCCCTGCACCCCATGGGAGACCAGGAAAAGCACCTGGTTCCTACCTCCTGCCTTCAGATAGGCGCGGTGCGCTGGCCACGGCGGCCATTGGAGGGTGAACCAACGGCAAAAAGGAAGACCTTTCTCTCTCTCTCTCTCTCTCTCTCACTGTCCACTCTGCCTGTAAAAAAAAATTAATCTGCCCATTGGAGCTACACTGTGCACAGTAGGTTAAGCCACTGCCTGGGATGATGGCACCCCATGGAGGGGCTGGATCCAGTCCCGGCTGCTCCGCTTCCAATCCAGCTCCCTGCTAATGAGTCTGGGAAAGCAGCAGCAGATGTCCCAAGTGGCTGGGCTGCTGCCACTGATGTGAAATATCTAGATGGAGTTTCTGGTTCTTGGCTTCAGCCTGGCCCAGACCTGGCTGTTGCTGCCATTTGGGGAGTAACCAGCAGATGCCAAATTCTCTCTCTGTCTCTCCTGCTCTCTCTGTAACTCTGCCTCTCAGTAAATCTTAATAAGAAAGAAAGAAAGAAAGAAAGAAAGAAAGAAAGAAAGAAAGAAAGAAAGAAAGAAAGAAAGAAAGAAAGAGAGAGAGGAAGGAAGGAAGGAAGGAAGGAAGGAAGGAAGGAAGGAAGGAAGAAAGAAAGAAAAGAAAAGAAAAGAAAAGAAAAGAAAAGAAAAGAAAAGAAAAGAAAAGAAAAGAAAAGAAAAGAAAAGAAAAGAATCCTTCTGCCTCCCAGTTACCTGGGTATGGGATCCGTGAGCTGCGTGTCTCAGAGAGTTAAGGGAGGAGTAACACTACACTGCTGTAGTGTTAATGACTCTGTGACCATTTGAAACTTTGAGTGAAGTTGAACATCTTTCACTTGATTATTGTTTATAGCTCCTGTTTTCCTCCTGGACTATAATCCTTTTGCTTTTTTTGTTGAACTCTTTACTTAGTAGAGCCATTAAGCCTTTGACTAAAACATAAATTAAAAATACTTTCAAAAAAGTATGAAAAAAATTTTAAAGGAAGGAAGGGAAGGAGAGCAAGAAAGGGAGAATTTTCCTGATTGCCCTAAAGGCCAGGTCGTGCCCACACTTTTGAAGCTCCAAGACACTTCCCTGCGTGAGCTCCGGGTGAGACCAGGACTGAGTCTGCGATAGTTCAGGGTCTGAACATCTCATAAAGGCTGAAGCCAACACCTCTTCTACAGTCAAGCCGTCCCCCCAGTGGCCTCTGCCCACCTTCCAGCTGTGTCCCTCTGGCTACGTGTCCCCTCCTACCACTGCCTCCTCACCTCTCCACACTCAGCTCCTCAGCTGCACCCCAGCACCCTTGCCCACGCTGCCATCACCACCTGGAAAGCCTTCCCTTGCTTGACCCAGTGAAAATCTCCCCACCACTCCGGTTCCCGTGGGGAGGCTCACCTTTCCCACCGCTTTGGAGCACAGGGAAGTGTCCCATCTCTGTTCCCTGAGCACCCAGCACAGGTCTGGGCAGAGCGTGGGTCAATGCATATTTGTGGAGCGCGTCCGCTTGGCTGAAACTGTCACCGCAGTTCAATGCTGGCAGAGTGGAACCCCACGCCCACCCCGGCTGCAGAGCTGGAGGGAACGCCATCCTGGGAGAAGGTGTTTGGAGATGCACGCAATGGCTGCTCCTCTGCTTCGCTCATCTCCCAGCTGCCGGGACCGTGGGGAAGTGTTTCTCAGCCTGTTGATCACAGATCCTGCGGGTGTTACTGCGACTTTTCTTTAAAAGGATTATTAAGAGGGAGGAAACCTCCAATCACGGCTCTGTGGAGAGCACCCTACATTCCAAGACTTCATTTTGGAGAGGAGGAAAGCACTCTTGTAACTGGCCTGGATTTGGCCCACAGCTGTCCCTCACCAGGCCCCAGACATGATGCGCAGTGGGGAGGAAGCGGGCGGCTGCTCTTCCACGGACAGACAAGTGACATGCAGGGACCTTGATGGCACTTAGACAGGAAGCACCACCATGGGGAGGTGGTGCCCCAGGCCACCTGCCCTGTACTTCCTGCAGACTTGCGTTCAAGTCCTGGATCCACACTGGTAAGCTTGCTGGTCTTCTGACCAAAGTCCTTGCTTCCTGTTTGGTAAAGTGTGGGTTAATAAAAGCAAACCCTGAAAGTCACGAGGAGGCATCAGTGTGACTGTAAGCTCCACAAGGACACACACTTGGCGACTGCCCAGAGGACTGCTGCTTCCCTGGTCCTTGATGAGTAAAGGCCGCAGGGTGAATCAGCAAAACGCATTAGCCCCAGGACCGCTGCAAACAACACGGATGTTCGTCTCTGCTTTCACTGCCAGGAAAAGCTTAATCCAATGAGTGTTTATGAAGCATTGGCCCTGTATGTGCGCAATGCTGTGGCGAAAACAAAAATGAAATGATGGGAACGTTCCTCCAGGCTTCAGGGTGAGCCGAACTCAAGTGAGGCTCAAGGGAGAGCAAGGCAGAGGCACTGAGCTAAGAGGTTGCGGGAGTTGGGCTGGAGGGACGGGCCTGGTGGGTTCAGCTGGGAAGGAAGGGAGCTGAACGAAGCCTCCTGCAGGAGGCTGAATGCCCTGGGCCAGGAAAATGGTCCTGGGGACTATGGTAGCTGGCCCGTGGATGTCACAAGACTGAGGATCCAGTCCCCCAGGCGCCGTTACACATGAAAAATCACAGGTTGTATTAATAGCTGGGCTTGTACCCAAAGCCTCCAAGAAGAGTTTTCAGATTTTTTTCCTAAGCTCTTAAGCCAAATTCAACATCACACTGCCAGCCAGGTAGTCACATGGGAAGAGAGAGGGACAGCCTGGGTCTCCTCTGACAGGTGGGGCCCTGGCTGCCCTCCTGCCCCTGCTACCAGAAAGACAGGGCACAGAACTCCACTCCAGGGAGTAACCTTTAACTCACAGTGCTCACCCTCCATAGAATTCACCAGGTCATCTCTGCTTTAGAATCTGAACCATCAGTGAGCAAACTCGCTGGCTGAGTGAGTGAGTTCAAGGCTGGCATGGAGAGAGGCTTCCTGCTGGGCCCTTCCACTTCCTTCCAGGCTAAGGGCAGGTGGGATGCAGCCTGCTGTGTTCTAGCTCCATGCCTTTGCATCCGTTGTGTCCTCTGCCTGGAATTTCCTACCCCGCCCTGTTTTGCTAGCACCCCAATGGGTGGCCCCCTTGAGTGCTCTGAGTGAGCTACCACCATGAGAAAAGCACAGGCTGCCACTAAAGGCAAGTGTAGCACTTCTCACAGGGCATTAACCTTGACAGCTAACATCAGCAAGTTCCTTAAGGGTGGGGGAATCTGCCTGCTTTATCCAGAGGCTGTCACTCAAAGGATGAATGTGGAAAGGAGAAAGGAGAATTTTCCAACAATGGAAAGTACTCATCTCTAGAATGGTGAGGTCCCTGGCACTTGTAGTGGTACATTTTGGGGAAGATAATCCCCAGGGAAGAGCTGGCTGCAGTGGTAAACCCAACCAAGGCTCAAGTCTAACAATTTCTAGACAGGGCAAGGTCTGGAGTTAAAAACCAACTCTCTCTCTCTCTCTCTCTGTCTCTCCCAACCCCCCTCTCAGGATCACAGGCTTCTACCTATATCCATACGCTTCCCACACCAAACAAATAAGAACTCCTTTCCTTTGCAGTGTTTTAACCCTTAGTATACACTCTCTCAGAAGTGACTTCTTCACAGCACTACAACAGCCTTGCCCTGCCCAGCACACCTCTCACTCTTGCCCCCTACAAGGACCAGTGGAAAGAAGTTTGCCTGAGACTCTGAAGACTGAGTTTACATCTGGAACCTATACAGCTACATGGTTGAGAAACTTGAAAACATTATCCAACCTTCAAGACCAAAACAAGAGCTTCTGGGAATGTCAGAACTTGCCTCTTGTTGATGCCTGTGTCTACCATAGCTCGTGAACCCCCCAGGGCCAGGGCTTGCCCTGTTCACCACTGTGTCTTCAGAATCCAGCCTTGTGCCTGATATATGACCAGTGCCCAACTTAACAAAGAAGTGAATGGAAATGGAGTGTCTCCTCCAGATTTCAAGTCACTCCATTTAATAGTGTGAAAGGTCTTATGGAGGAACCATGGTGGTGTTGTAAAGACCTCCCGGGCCTGAACCCCATGAGTCATCCTCACAGCTGACCTCTGTAGCAGGTTGTGGATCACAAAGGGCTATGATCCTTACAAGAGACCCACATGTGAGTGATTTAGTCCCCAAGAAAGCCAGGTTCATTGAGAGCAGGGTTGAACTATTTCTTTATGCCAGGCTCCAGCTCCCGGTGGGGTAAATAGCATATGTTTGTAAGTATCTGCTCACTTACTCATGCAGAACTCAACAAAGTAATGACCTGATGCTCAGAAAAAAGTGGCTTGTTCAGGTTCCATAGCATGTTAGTGATGAAGTCAGGGCTGTGCTCTGGTCTCAGCACTTCCTGTTGTGTGATCACAAGTGTTGTGCAATGCCACGCACGAAGCTGTGAGGGATTTGATAGGCAATGACCTGAACACTTGCCCTATGGACTACTGCACCCATCAAAGAGCACAAGGACAGGGCCCTGGCATGGACAGCCAGGGCTCTAGCTGGGACTGCAATGACTGACTGCAGGTGTCCTGGGGACTGTCACAGCTTGGAACACATCTGCCTCCAGGTGCAAAGAAGGTAAGCTTTGGTAACAATCACTTGTTAATCATGTCTCCAAAAAGTATGTGGTAGTCTGAACCCCTAGGGCCTGGGAACATGACCTTATTTGGAGTGAGGGTCTTTGTACATGTAATCAAGGTAAAATTATATCATACTGGATTAGGGGGTCCTTAAATTCAGTGGCTGATGTCTTTAAAAGAAGCCGTGTGATAACACAAAGGAGATGCATCCTGGGATCTCCATGTGGCAATGGCAGTTGAGATTGAAACGATGCATTTAAGCCCCGAGGAACACCAAGACTGTGGGAAGCACTGGAAGCTAGGAAGAGGCAAGGAAGGATTCATCCCCAGTTTTCAGAAGGAATGCTGCCCTGCTGGCACCTTGATTGTGGACTTCTAGCCTCGAGATAGGTGAGAGAAGCAAGTGCTGTTGTACCTTGTCACCATAGCCACTGGAAATCCACACAAAATTAAGAGATGGTTTCCCCATTACTAGCAAGAGGAAGGCCAGAGAGGGGTCAGCAAAGGAAACCAAAGGAGGTGGAGACGTAGCTCACAGTTAACACTTGAGTCCCAAATCCTCCCATTCGCTTCAGTTGTTGAGGGTTTACATTTTTATCAACACAATCAAATGATATTGGCAGAGAACTCCGTGTGTGTGTGTGTGTGTGTATGTATGTGTGTGTATGTATGTGTGTGTGTATGTATGTGTGTGTATGTATGTGTGTGTGCTTTATATTTACATGACTAGGGAGCTGTGTTGTCTTCAGAATAGGACAATCAGTTCATATGTTGAGTCTGTGGAGAAGCCATCAGTCAAGAAGCCTGGCTCCTGGTGTAGGCGTCCACAGACACAGGACATGTGAGGTCTCTGCCTGACAGGGGCCTCACAGCTTAGTTCAGAGATGTTCCACTGAGGTGGGAGTGCACACAACGTTTGACGGGTATCCTTGGGCCCTGAGGAGGCAGGGCAGGGAGTGTTCCTGTCCATGGCATCGAGAAGTTCATCAAAAAGTGTAGCAGGGGAGATGTTGATTCGAGCCAAACCAAGAAGGAGCAAAGTACCATGAGGTTGCTTCAGTACAATCAAGGTGACACAAGTGACGGTGTCCAGGTAGGAAGCATACATGCAGTCATCGAGCCTCGCCCTTGGATATTAGTGGTGTCTTATGGTGTGCTGGTCCCAGCAAGGAGGATGGAGGCAGGTACCAAATTGATTACCTAGTTAGCATGTGTGAATTTTTCACTATACCTATTCAAGTGCATAACAAATGCAACTTGTTTTACTATAAAGGATGCTATTTTCTATTCTGAGTATATGTTCTACCCCAAGTAGGAATCCTAAAGTAATCAAGCTCATATTTCTATTTTCCCCTTCAACCCCCTACCAGTCTAAACCTTCCACCTCACCCAACCCACTGCTATTTGGGGCTCAAAGAAGCTGAGCAAACAGCCCATTATTTATCCCTGCATAGGCATCTTCAATCCTCTCGTCCAGAATGAAGTGAGGTGGAATGCTAAAGCCACTCAATGCATCCCAGACCGAAGAACCAGGCCCTTTTCTTTTGAATTCACAGTGAAACCTCCACTCCTACGTCCCAGGCGAGCCCACTGACACTGGTACCTGACACTTCTCCTCCCCACCCTTTCCATCTTCTACCAGCCCCACAGGGTTTGTGTTCTGCTTGTGGAAAAAAAAAAAAAAAGTCATCATTGAATTCTTGGCTGCTAAGGGGATAAACTCCGTGCCTTCAGCCCATCCAGTTTTGCTTTCTGTTTGGAACTATTTGCAGCTAAGAGTTTCAAACACCTGTTTAGAAATCCCCAAAGTAACGCTTTTAAATCAGTCTTTCTGCCCTGACCACTGTGCCCCACGGGCAGCGAGTGCACAGCGTGTTTGCTGCGACCTGGAAGGAAGAGGGAATGGCAGCTGACACTTGACGGCATCCCCGCCAACACCTGTGACGTGCAGACAGCGTCACACAGGCATGGTTCATTTCCCCCATGACCCAGCCTTGAGGACGAATTTCCTCACTTGTGCAATGGACAGAATACAGCTCAGACAAATTAAGTGATTTCGCCCAAACTTAACACCAGCAGGAAGTGTCGGAGCAGAATCTGATCTGAAATTCATGCTTTTGCAGCTGTGCCCCTTTGCTGGGAGGGGCGCGGGGCTGGCAGATGTGAGAGGAAGCCTGAGCAGAGGCCAAGTGACAAATGACCCTGAAAGTCAGGCCAAGGAATGCGGACTTGGATTTCTCTTTTGATTTTTATTTTTGTTTTATTTCTTTGGTGTCATAGAATTTTGATGATTGCTTCTCTTCCATTTTTTTTTTCCTAAAAGGGATCTACCTTAAATTCAAGTCCAAAATGACCATCAATGTTTGATTTGTTATGTATTAAACAGAAATCTAGCCGGCACCATGGCTCACTAGGCTAATCCTCCGCCTTGCAGCACCAGCACACCAGGTTCTAGTCCCAGTCGGGGCGCTGGATTCTGTCCCAGTTGCCCCTCTTCCAGGCCAGCTCTCTGCTGTGGCCAGGGAGTGCAGTGGAGGATGGCACAAGTGCTTGGGCCCTGCACCCCATGGGAGACCAGAAGTTCCTGGCTCCTG